ACGAATCGCATGCGAAACAATCAATCGGGCCCAGTGGCTAGGTTGGCTTTCTTCTCAAAGATGTCGCTCATGACCGGCCGTCGGCTGTACTCCGCAATGAGGCTGTACTTGTCGCCTCAGCGGCTCGAAGCGGAGGTTTTTGGGGGCCCTTCAAGCTGCAAGGGGATCGGTATATCTCGAGAGAATCTATACATGCCCTCACCAATATGCCGCATGTGAGAGCCTATAGTTGAGTTGCCGTCAAAACCATGTGTAGTGGACATGGGGTGCCGGTGAAAGTATGCGAACGGATATAATCGGTTGTCATCTTTTGACTCTGTTGGTTTGGAAAGAATGTGGGGAACCACCCAAAGTACAGCGCCAGCTTTGGAAAAGCTACGTGATCTCGAGTCCGCTCAAATATGCACACCTACTTTTGGCACTGGTACATACTCTCCTGACTCACATGGAAGCACCAAGCTCAATAACGGAAACCCCGGCCCGGTGTCCCCGTTTGCGGATTCGGACCGCTTTTCTGGGGCCTGATGCAGTCTCAAAAACTGGCTGTCCTGTTGTGTCTCCTTAAACTAATCTAAAACGGGTGCTAAAAAACAAAAGTCTGAACTTTGTAAGTACCACTAAAATGGTCCAATCCCCAAAAGTGAAAAGTCCAAGGAATGGTGGTTCCAACAAAGTGACTAAAGTCCAAGAATTCGGGGAGGGAGTTCCCCTCCCGGTTGAAGCCAACGCCTAGGCATCCGGGCAGGACTCACTGACAAAGGCCACCACCGCCTCCTGCACGGTGCTGGACACTCGCGTCACCTCGCGGCTCAAGGAAGGCAGCTCGAGTGCGGCTCAAGGCGAGGAGAGTGACGTTGCAGGGCTCCACTTTCTGACTACAGGTAGACTTGACCCCAGGGGTGTGGGGGCGGGGGGGGGGGAAATCAACCAGCCTTGGGTTTAAGTCAACCTGTCGTCAAACAGTGGAACCTGGTGACTTGGGCTTGAGCTCCTTTCACCGGGTTTTGCGCCCGTTTTCAGGTTCGCCACTGGCACCCTGGAACTGTGGCGATGTGTTTGCTTTTTCATACTGGCTCACTACAACTATGCTCACTATGAACATCTCAAATTAGATTTTGAAGATCTCCAACCCGGCATCTCGCGAACCCGCTCTGCCCAACCCAACCCAACGCGCGCAAGCGACAGGCCTTGGACATGGCGTCGCCCCGGAGCAGCCCGAAGAGGATCATCAGCGAAGGCATCATAGCCACCACCCACCAGCAGGCCGGGTCCTCCCAAACCGAACCCCCACGCGTTTTCGGAATCGGCGCACGGGTGTTTGTTCTCGGAACTCGTTGGCACATTTCTCAGATTCGCATGTGTCTCATGGTGTGAGGAACCGAAATGGAGATTCCTTTTTGCCATTTCCTTTCAAGCCCAGAACCCCAACCAGCGGTTTTTGGGAAAGATCGGAGTCAGAAAGGAATGTAACCCATGCCCCGTGGAACTGGGGCGGGTGATTGAGAAGGGGCTCTCAGCAAATCGGATTTGACGGGCAGCTATATGCAAGCTGCGGCAGTGGCTTGCCACATGCATGGTTGATTCTTTCTTGTGGGCCTACGAGCCTATGGCGGGTAGGGCTACCCACCTAACGGAAGGGCTATGGCCCCAATCCTGGAAGCGGGAATCCAAGCGTCTTCCAAAACCGAATGGCACCAGCTTCATTGGAACGAATCCATTTGTCTCAGATGGGTCCGGGACTCTAAAACGCTTGGAATTTGCGCTTGTTTTCCCTTCAAATGCCAACCAACAGGGGGCGGACCCGAATTTTGAAAAGTTCGATGGGTACCTGAAAAGGCGACTTTGCCGGGCCTTTGGCGGTGAGTGTTCCATGTCCTTTTTGGGGGCGGTCCCCCACATGTTTTTTTCCGCGTTCCGACTCTGCAAAACTCCTACTCCGGGCGTTTGCTAAGTAAGGGGGGTCTGGAAAGAGATGGTTTCCATATCTGTTTTTCAGGGCTTAACATCTATGGGCTGTGCGAATAGCACACCACTGAGTTCTCTCAGGATTCTCAACATGTCCATGGGGTCCACTAGAGAAGCATCAAATTCAAGCCCTTTCCAGCTCATGAAAACAGGTTGAAACAAATTGAAAACAAAGACCTCAAGGGCATAACCTACATCTGTTCATTATTGGCAGAGACATGCTTCTCTGATGAACATGGCGCCCGAAAAACCTGCGTGGGCTTCTTGCGAAAGGCGCCTGCGAGAGAGTGAAGACCACCATCAGAAACTGAGCGGTCAAACCGAACTCCCCCGCTCAGACATGAGAAATTGCCGCGCATCCCCGCGTTTTCGGAGCTTAAGCTAGTGCTCGTTCCCCGTCTCGAACCCATGGATCTGGAAAACGTTACGACCAAACCTGCCACCAAAACGAAGGCTTCTGCTTCGACGGAGCAGTTGCTGTTTGGAACGCTTCAAGGGCCAAGGGTCCTGTCAGAGCCTTTTGTGCTTGACCAGCTTGGCATTCGAGGAAACGTGGTTCATGGTACATATGTCCGGAGTCTAAGGATCGCCCCAATACGCCCAATTCGCCCAATACCCCGCCTTTTTCTAGGGTGTGGTGGGCAAGGCTGAGATTTTCACTGTAAGTACCTCCTTTGCGAGTCCAGGATCGACGACGTGGCCTAAACACCGAGGGTATCTGGAGGCTCGGTGGAGGCTCGGTGGAGGTTCAGCGGGGAAAACCCAACCTGAGACCGAACTCACCCCCGGGCGATCTTCCAAGGCCACCTTTTTAGAAGGGTACTAGTACCTGGTTTTTCCGGGGTTTTCAAGGGAAACCAAAAGGAACACCAAATCTGTGTTGGAGGGGGTCCATCTAAAACAAGACACACAAATCGATTTGGCCAGTCAAGGGGACCCTATGTTTTACTCCGCCACGCGGTTTTATGCGTTTTAAAGTGCCCTACAATCCCATTCTACAGTTAGAATTTAGCCCGCTATATATGGTCCCGTGTTCCGTGTTGGTACCCCCCCCCCATATGATATGGGTCCCCCAGGACCCCCCCGCCCCCCCGGCCCGAGACCCCGAGCTTCCGGATCCTGTCAACGGTCCCACCCCCACCCCGACCCCTGAACTCGCACCCCGACACCCCGGCACCCCCACCCCAGGACAAGCCAACCCGCAACCAACCATAAACCAACCCTAAACTAACCCTAAACGAACCCTAAATACCCCCTAAACCAAACCGTAAACCGTAGACCTCTAAACCTAAACCAACCCTAAATCAACATAAACCAACCGTAAACTAACCCTAAACCAACCCTAAACTAACCCCAAATGCACCCTAAGCCAATCCCTAAACAATAAACTCTAAACCTAAGCCAACCCTAAACCAACCCTAAACTAACCCTAAACCAACCCTAAACACACCCTAAACCAAACCTCTAAACCTAAACCAACCCTAAGCCAACCCTAAATCAACATAAACCAACCCTAAACTAACCCTAAATACACCCTAAATATACCCTAAACCAATTCTAAACCACCCCTAAACCACCACAACCCAACCACAGGACCACAACCACAGGGGGGGGGGGGTACTTGTCTGACCCATGACCATTGGTGGGGGGGGGGGGGCTGGCAACGCTGTACCATATATATATATATATATATATATACACATCATAAACAAAAATGCCAGTGGATGGGTGGCTTGGGATTCTTCCGACGGGGGCAATGCCCCGAAGAAGTATAATATCTAGTCTAGATGAAAGAAAGCAAACAAAGCAGGCTTCCCCCCAGAAATACAAAAAACTTGCTTGTGGTGACACCCACGCCTATTCACCAAGACATGTTGTTTTTGGAAACCCGTTAAACAGGTTTATCCCCCGCACTGAGCTGATTTTCGGCCAAAACAGAACCAGCCATTTTGGGGGGGGTCCCTAAAATTGAGACATCCCCCCATCCCCATTTGGCTCCCTGGTTTAAAAAAATGAAAAACATCAAGGCCGATTTGGCAAGGCCCTCCTTTGAGCTGAAGGCAAGAAATCGTCGGCCAGGGAGCGATTCGCCCGATCATCTGGATAATGTCCAGCCTCAGTCTCTCTCTCTCAAGCAGCTTGCGCGGAGCGTCCGCGCATGTCAACTTGAGAAAGTCCAACATGAAAACACGAAAACACATCTCCAGTCTCCCATCACCCTGCCTGCCAAATCCTACAGTATCCTCTCTTTGTGTGTGCGTGTGTATCTGTCGGTCGGGGTCTGGTCGAGAACACGCGAAACCGCCTTGCTCCAAGACTCACTGCAGCGTAAGCGCTCGCAACATCGGAGCTCTCCTCACAAGCCGCCGAGTGCTTGGTGTATCCAGATGACTTACCAGAGTCCTGGAAATTCCCCCGCGTGTTCCAGTCTTGCCGGATGTTTCAGGCCCTTTTCGTTGTTTTATTCGTGTTTTTTTGGGGGGTGTTTTTTTTCTTTTGTCGCGTTCCGTGCTTTGTTCTGGCGCTCTGCGGGCGTCTGCGATCTTGCTGGGCGATGTGCCGCCGTTTGCGTGTTTTGCGCCTCACAAGCAGCTCTCCAGGCAGTGGCATAAGAGGCCACTGCCTTAGCGCACCTCCCACACCCCGAATAGTTCACACGTTGAACATTGATGCGGCGCTTTTGGGCTGGAAGCCCATAAGAAGGCAAGAGTGGCGAGCTGAGGGTGCACGTAGCGTTTGGCAGGCATTTGTGATGAGGTGATCATGTGCGAGTGTGCTTATCATGTTGATCAATTCTTTCTATCCTGTACCTGGCATTTCCAGGAGAGATAGATGTGCAAACGCATTGCGGGTTTCTACTAGAGACCAGCACTACAGTGCAACGCAACACATGCATACGCAAAGGCTTTCAGATGATTGCTGGGGGTTTGAAAGAGACGCGTGCGATTTTGGCTTAGGTTGCTTGACCTCGCTTTACCTGCGATGACCCCCAAACAAAAATCCAGTCGATACCGCTCATTCCCAAGCTTTGCAATTCCTTGAGAACCAGCGACTTTAAGGGGCCCCGCCTTCTTTTTTGCGTGTGTGTTTTTTTAGAGGGGGGTTTGGGGGCTATACACACACGTTTTGTGGTGGAAGACAAACACCAGTTTTTGCAAACCGGCCACCCGGTCCCAAGATTCCATATGAACTTGGCAATTTCCTTTGAAACCATCGAGGATCCAAAAAGATCGAGGAAATGGAGGGGCCAAAAATGTCAGATGGCATGGCAAAATGTCATCACCAGCAAGGGAAGAGAGACTGCCCACGTCTTGAGCTCCCAATTTGTTGGAGGAACCTGTGGACAATCTCCTGTAAAACAGAAACCAATCCCTTAAGAGAGTGCCTGAAAGCGGGAAAATGGTCTGGACACCGAAACCAACTTTTTTGGAGGAACCCCTGAAAACGGAAGAAAAAATCCTGGAAACCCCGGAAAAAAAAGGAAACAAAAAGGGGGGAAAAAAGGAGAAAAAACGGGTGTGGGCTTGTTTTCTCCTGCGTGATGGCGTGGTTCATCTGCGCAGGCGTCATGGAGCGTCTCGACTTCTCCTCGGATGCCGAGATGCCGCGGCGCAGAACGCGGGTGGCTTGGAGTTCGGTTTCGCTTGGTGTGGAGGGTCTGCCCCCCCTGCAACCAACAAGAACCGGGGTTGGGTGGGGTGGGGTGAGGTGGGGTGGGGTGGGGTGGGGTGGGGTGGGGTGGGGTGAGGTGGGGTGAGGGCAAGCCGTGTGTTGGAGTTCCCTGAAACCATCTGTGCGCCTCCCCTGAAATCCAATAGTCGGTTTCCTTGAGGCTTCCCCGGCAAGGATCCAGACCACTTCGGTGGCAAAACACCGGTGGTTGGAACACAATAGAGAAAAAGACTTCATGGTGTATGGGCTGTGAATTAGTCAGGAGGGAAGTCCCAGTCCCATGTTTCGAATAGCAAGGGAAAGCATCGCAAGGTCATGTCCCAGTTCTAAGAAGGAACTTTCCACCTCAAATAGGCTGGTTTTTGAAGTCTAAAATCTTGCGGAAAGAGAGAGACTGGGTCCAATGATGCTTAGGGCATGAAAGCATCCCCCAATCGAAGCTAAGTGCAAAGCCTGGTTGATTTTACCTGGTGTCCCCACGCGGGAATCTACTTCACTCCTTATAGGATGGAACCGAAACTCTGAATTAATTTCGATGCCAAGGTTGCACCAAATGACACCAGCACACAAGCGGCTGATGTTTGTTTCGGGAGCAACCCACCCCGGGGTTAAACCCCCCAAAAAAATAGTTCTTCACCCAATTTAGATGATGATACTCCTCAGGTAAACACTGGTGGCTACGTATTAGGCGTTGTTTTGATGGTGGTTGGCGTACCATGCTTAGGGCTCCATCCTATCTTGGGAAAGATTGGATCGTGCGCCCAAAGCCTCCTTTACTCGGTTGCTTCTGCTCCCCTGCTAAAAGTTTAACTTTTAGTGGTTTAATGGAAAACCCATGAGTTGGCAAAAAGTTAAAGTCCTAACAGCCAAGCAAAATTCAACAAAGTTTAGGCTGAGGAAAAACGATTCGAGCCCCGTCACACGGGTCGTTACCACAACTGGCTGGTGATTGGAAACCCCATTTTTGATTTTTTTGCTCGTTGGCAATTAGGCAAATTGTGTAATCCACTGCACTTTCGCCCATCTCTTAATGTTGGACCCTCTTTAATGGGACCCCCCCCTCAACAATAGAATGCAGTCCTGGGGGTCTGGGTGGGACGTGGACTTACTAAAACTTACTTTAGTATTGCCAAGACTAAGTTGGCATTGCCAAGCTTTAGATTCCCAGCACTTGCGCTAGTGTTGCCACGTAAAATTTAGCAAGCAAGAGCCCGCTTCTTTTCAGCAACCCCCCAAAAAACAAGTTGGACACTAAAGAGGACCCCAAAACAGTCGCAAAAAAAAGGGGATCAGGGCCTCTTGTGGGCAACCTCCTTCGTGTGACTTGTAAAGAAGTTAGCTTACATTTGATTGTGTAGAGACCACTTCAAAAAAGGAATTCCTGATGTTTGCCCGGATTTATTTGACCGTGTTTGCCCGACTTCTTGGCCAGCCTTTTTTGTTCGTTTGTTTCCCGGCAGTTCTCTTTGCAGCAAAAAACGCTTCGGCAATAGACCCTAACACAGTCACAGGATCCTGAATTAGGAAACACGCTTTTGTAATAGAGGTCCCTATCGCTGAAGGAGCTGTAACATTAATCCAGACAGCCAATGGCTCTCAACCGTGTGGCTTCATTTGAGAGGTCTAGCCGGTCTAGCACTCTGGCACGGTTGCGTGCGCGAAAACCAGCTACAGAGAGCGACCGGGCGACTCCAATACCAAACATGGCCACTTCGGAGCCCTGCGAGGAGAACCGCCTTCCGCTTTTGGGGAAACGGTCCCTCCGACTCCGGCCGAATCCGAGGGCAACGAAGAAAACCGCTTGGCAGTTCAGCTCCCACGCAACTCGCGTTGTTCGACCAGCGGATTCTGAATAATCCATATAATGGTGGGACACCACTTCGAGGACAAGGGACACAACTGGGTCAAAATACAGCAACCAGGGGACCGCAGGTTTTGGTCATTGTTTCCATTTTCCCCGGCTCCATTTTGGGTACCTATTATTGACCCACACCCACATAAGGACTAAGGCCTACTTTTGGACAACCCGGTAACTGCGGACCATCAACGACACTGCGACCACCAAGGCTTGCCTGCTTTGCGTCTCGACCCAACCAGTTCCCTGCCGTTTCCCGAAACGCATTTGGCTCAAAGGCCGCAACTTGGCTCTCTCTTGTCCCGAGCTGCGCTGTAGTTCAGGTACTTCCGGAAGAGGGTGGTCTGAATGAACATCTTGGTACGGCCCTGGACATCCAGCGCCAGCTTGTGGTAGTCCCAAACATGCAGAATCCAGAGCGGCAGAATGTACATGATGCCAATGACGATGGCCTCAGCGCCAAAAAAAACCGAAGAAAAAAAAACCGGCCGCGCGCTGAAGCCCCACGCGCCGAGCCCTCGGCCTTTGAAGCGGATCCAGCGGATCCAAGCGAAAGCCCACGGTGTCCCCCAGCGCGGAGCCAGCGGCCAAAGCCGCACAGCCAAACCGGGCGGGGGATATTCCGAATCTGGGTTTGTCTCTTTTTGAGGTTGGCTTAAAGCGCAACCAAAGCGCAGAAACCCTGTTGGGGCTCTCCTAGTTTAGGACACGCCCATTACATCCGCGCGGCACAGAGGCGGCGGTCCGGAAAGATGAGGGACTCCGTGGGCTTGGAGGTGTCCAGCACCACCTCGAGCTCGACTCGCAGTGGCGAAGACGTCCGCGGCGCCGCATTTTTGTGCCGCAAAAGCGGGGGAAGTTTTGGGTACGTCCGGGTAGGTGTTCGTCACAAAAAGGGAAATCGCAGCACGGAGTTCACCAAACTGAATACAGGCTGCTGTTGGATTGTTTCGAACACTTCGAGGAACCGCTCGCGGGAAAAGAAGCAATGCCGCCACATGAGGTTCGGACGAAATGTGAAGATTTGTCTATGGCCCATTTGGCAGAGCCATGAAAGTCGAGTTCCCCACAGACGCTAGGGGACTCGCTCGGACCGAAATTTCATGGCGCCCATGGTCCGGGCATCGCAAAAACGGAAGCTCCTCAGGCATCTCCAAAAAATAAAACTGGACCATGGGGTTGGCCAACTGGTGTAAACCATGGTTTGAACAAACGGGGGGGTGGTTGACCCTGCTCACAGCTTTTCAGTGCACGCCCTCTCCTAAAGGGTCTGGTTGCAAAAAACATCCGACGAGAGAGACGTGGTTTGGGGCGAGAGACGTTGATCAGGTAGGTCTTCATGGCCAAGGTGAGCATCAAGTAGGCGTTCCTCAGCTTTTTGAGACCATCTTCTTTTCATAGGTCTGTCTCAAGTTTTGGGAACCCCGAAAACTGTTGGCTTTTCTTTAAAAACCAACCAAAAAGAGGATTCCACCAAACAAATGAGATAAATTTACATGAGCCACGGTCAATGGTCAATGACTCGCGAATCCCCATTCCCTATAGGAAGTCTGTAAGTTGATGATTTGTGCCCAATGTCATCCTCTTTCTACAGTAAAATGAGGTCAATATTGACCATTGCTTACCTGAGGTTTGCTGGCTCTTAGCAAACCAGCCTCGATATGTCAAAGCCAAGCAACACTCCGCAAGCACAACAGGCTGATTTCCTTTTGGGCAACAAAACACATGCCGTGTGTGTGTGTGTGTTCTTAGAGGGAACCCAGTCTGGGGGGGGTGGGTTAGAGGGAAACCAAAAAGAACCCATCATACTCCACTTTGGGTTTCTTTGGAGAAACTCTCCCATGTCCTGGCCCCTCCAAGCTCGTGACAGCCTCCAATGCACGCCACTCGTATGGCGCCGGACCAATTCCTCATTAAACCCTTGAAACCAACCCATGAGTGCACAACTCGGCCGCCCGAAAAGACGGTCAGATGTCCTTTTCGGCCGCGAAAATCCACCAAAAAAAAATCCCGCCGCTCCGCCCCTCTCCCGTTCGACCACCGCCACTCGAATCGAGGGGAGCGAAAGCCGCCGGGACTCTTGAGCTGGTCCAAGGCCACCGTGAGAACCGTCCGCCAACCAATGCCTTCACCTTGGATGGTTTCCCCCTACCCGTGGGATGTCCCATGGAAGAAGCACCAGAGGTATGGTCTCGAAGGGAAAGCCCAAGAAGTCTGGGGACCTCCCAAAGGGCATCGGAAGTGAATGGCACCATTCCGGAAAACGCTAGGGGGGCTAGTCTGAAGCCGCAAGAGAGTTCCCTGAAATCGGGCAGCCCGACCCGAAATGATTAGCTTCCTCAGGCTTTCTCTTAAGCAGATCGGCCAAACGGGGAGGGAAAACCACATTGAAACGCCCCACGTTCTTAATCATGTATGTGTATATATATATATATATATCTCATGTTGGGCGTGCTTGCCCTTGCACATGCGCCAAACCGGCGACGATAGCCTAACCCGCAACAAAGGCCTGTGACATAAACCCCTCACCATACACGTTTTGGAGGAGCAACATGGGGAGCTCTTGTGATCCAAAACCAATCATGTTGACCAGACCTGGGAAGACTCATTGTCCATAAAATGAGAACTAACTAGAGTAAAACCGGAACCTAGAATTCTCGATTTGGGAGTTTGGAAGCCTGCATGCTCTTGGGATCCCCTATTTGTCGGCTTTTCAAGGGAAGCAGGAAATAAACCACCTTTTGGGGGTCCCCGCAAAAATACGACCCCCCCCCCCCCTTGTCCATGCTTCTACTCCAACGGCGTTGCTTTTTGCGTGCTCGCAACCCGTCTTTTGATGAGCCGTCTCGTGTGGAGATTAAAAGGGCGGCCGAAGGACTGATGAAGTTCAGGCGGAAGAACTCCATGAAGAGCGAGAAGCCGCTGATGTTCCAAATCGCGTCCTCGCCTTTCCTTGGGATGAACAACAAAACCGGACTGCATCCTTTGAGAAATCTGGGCTGTCCTCAGAATCCCACTAGAAGTTTAACTTTTAGTGGCTGAAATGGACATCCAACCACCAAACACTAGAAAGCTAAAAGACTGAGGGGGCTGGGAACCACCAAGGGGTGAGAATGAACCAAAAGATTGCGAAAAAGGAAACGCAGTTGGATGGTGCTCGCCTATTGGTCAAAACCGTTTTGCTGAAGACAAGAGACGTGAGTGGGAGAACGACGATTTGCCTCTGCCTTGAGAAACGAAAGGCGGCATGTTGACCCGCAAAAAGCACGACTCATCTTGTTGAGTTGTCCTTGGACACCTTCCATCAACCCGGCAGGGTTTTTGGAGTCCGCGCCTCTGTGGCAGGTTTAAAGTCAATTTGCCGGAAAGTCGACAAGGCGAAAGGTCACGAATGACATCGGGGACCCTTGTTGCTGCTTGGTGCTTGAAGGTTAAGTCATGTAGGTGAGAAAAATGCGCGAAACGTCGAAGTGCCTTCGACCTTTCCGCTGTTGAAAATTGTTTGCCAAAAGCTGCCCCAAGGCGAGACGGAAATTGGAACTTTTTGGACAAACGAACAAGCGGCGGGGATACGGAAGGAGCGGAGATATGGGAGTCCAAGCCTTTAGTACTTACTAAAATGGTCCAAACCCAACAAGTGACTAAAGTCCGGTTACTCGGGGAGTCAGGAAAGCTGGTTGCAGGGAACACAGCTAAGCGTCAAGATCTCTTCCCTGTGCTTGTTGCCAGGGAAGGCATCATCGTCGATGACCTACCGAATCGGCGCCCGAATCGATGGCCCCCGAAGTTTGAGGCGATGCCCCTTTTGGTTGGTTAAGGGAAGCGCAAAGGAAACCCGCAACCGGAATGCCATTTCGGGACCGAATGCGTTGAGACAAAACCGAGGAAATGCAGCAACTCCGGGCCCTCCCTCGAGTGGCTTTTGGACACCTGCCACCATGACTGTAAGTTATTAGCTGAATTCAGGCGGTTTCCCCCCCAAAAAAAAACAACAACAACAACAATGATATGTCACGCTGGTTCTTTTGAACGTGAATTGGTTTGGGAAACCCCATGGCTTCAGACCTCCAGAGAAACCGATCCGAAGTGAGCCGCAACCCGACTTCCGGCAGCCAGAGTGGGAATTGAGGCCAATGGGTGGCCTTCCAAAGAACCCTTTTTCACGGAGGTCGGTTTACCCAGCAACTTCCTGCCTTGACCCGGCAATGTTGCAGATCTTGGCCCAACCTCGGCACGGGCTTTTCGCAGGCAATAGCGCTGCCCTCTGGTCCCGGGTTTTCCAAAACAACTCCGCCGCACGGCCAGAAACCCAACCGGCTCCTACGAGGTCCGGTTGGAAACCTCTCCATTCGGCTTGGCGGTTTGGAGGTGTTGCTTGTTGGGTCGCATTTGCCCACAAGAACCAGGGGTCCAAATCCCACCGATCCAAACCAACTAAGGGGTGCCTGAACATCGATGGAAGACGCACAAGGATACACAACAACCACTGGGTGTGGCTTTCTTTAGGGGACCCCCCAAAATGGTGGCCTTCCGTTTGGTTTCCCTTGGGGGGAACCACAAAAAAACAGCCTGTGAAACCGCTGAAAAGGCAAAGCCCCCGTGAGCATCATGAGCACCCTGGTCAAATCCGAGATACACGTAGGCAGTGGAAATAACCCTCGGGTTGTGTGGGATATGGGTCCACCCTGTGCCCAGCCCTGCGACTACTCGCGAGCTTCTCTTAGGCACCCCCAATCTCTCAGTAACTTCACAGCGTGTCTTCGAGCCTTGCGCCTGACTCAAGAAACTCGAACAGGGGGGGTATTCCAGAAGGGGATTCCCCAAGTTGGGGGCTCGTTTTTGGGGGTCCACCTGCCGCTTGTCAGGGCAGGGCAGGGCAAGTCTGGGCAAGGCACTTGCAGTGTTGAGGATGAGTCAGCACGATCTTGAATTCTGTGGATGGAGACCAGTTGTCGTCGTCGTTGATGACCTCATGGAAACCAAACCTTTTTGTATGTCCAAAGGACATCACCCTTTTGGGGCCCTCATTAAGAGGGGTGCCTGGATTTCCCAAAAGATGCAACTGGCCGTGCCACTTGGGAAGGTTCCAAAAAGGGAAATGGCTCGGAAACCCTAGGCCTGATTCAACATGAAGAAGGTGATGCTGTTTGAACCCGGAACTGTGCCGTCGCAAGTAACCCCACCATCACCTCGCTGCAACCCCTCGCAGTGCACACCCTGCAAAACGAGTTCTCAAAAGCGGTTCCAAAGGACAATCATGTGTGTAGAATCCTACCCATTTGTTAGCACTCCAACATGGGTGACGTGAATGGCAAATGTAAATCCATGTGTAAACTGTTCATAAGAGTATCGATCAATAATCGTCAACTATCAGTCTTAAATATGTACCAACCCCAAGTTTCAGCAATTCTCAGAATCTCTTTTCGAGATTCTAAAGAAGGTCCAAATCCCCAAGAGGTCGACTACCATCTTCCCGACCATTAGCGTTTTTTTTGTTGTCAAGTGATACTCGGGGGGGGGGGGGGTTCTCAAAACAGACCCCTTAAAAGGGGTGGCTGTTTAGTTGGCCAAAGGAAACCGCTGCATGCGGGCTTTCGAGTACCGTGGCTCCAGGCGATAGAGATCTCTTTCTGATCCTCCCCATTCTCGAAAATCAGCTCGCCTGAACCGGTCGGGATGTGCCAAAATGAGCGGTGTGTCATAGTTCCAGCGTCGGAATATCTTGGCTGTGGGCCACCTGTTTCGACCAAAACGTAAAAGTCCGCCAACTTCCGGACATCGGATAATATTTTTGCGGCTTTTACATGCAGCGCCGAAATGTAGAAATTTGACTGGGCTGGTTGGATCACAGTCGCCCCATGGAACATCTCTCCTAGTCTCCATTCACCCGCTGAGTGACCCTCGATGGTTAAAGGTCCGACCTGCCAAGCCCACCAAAACCCGCCACGTGTTCATTTCAAGGGAAAGTCGATTCCTTTTCTTGGGGCACACCTGAATAACTCGAGGGCTTTCTTCAGGGGTAGGCTTTGAAGGGCAATAAGTCCGGGCCCAAAAAAATGAGAGAATTATCGGCATGTGGAATGGTCGTCTGTGTTTCTGTTCGCGATCCTTGTTTGGACCCTTTGAATTTGGCAAGGAACTTGAGATACTTTATGGAAGGCCAAAGAGCATGAACACAGGAAGCGGAGTACTGTTTTCGGACACTCTGGCTTCTTTGAATGTTCAAGGCGAAGCGTGCAACCTTTTTTCGTCCTCACACGCACACCATATGTAAAGGTTGTGTCAAAAGAAAGGTACCCCAGAAATCATGGTGTTCCTGTTGGTTTCCTATTAAACCACCCGCAAACGGTGTACCCTAAACACACACACACACACACACACATACAAATACAAACAAACGCGCAAACACAAACTCAGAAACACAGAAACACAGAAACACAATAACACCCATCGCAGGGCCGAAATCGCGCCTGAGCATGCCTCATACTCCCGGCCAGCGATCGCGGAAGCGTTGATGGTGTGGTACTTGACCTCGGCCAGCGGATGGCATTGCTGTCAAGCACCGGTAGGGCTCCCTATATTCCCCTTCACCCCAGGAGGAAACTCATTACAGTGGAAACCAAACGGGGCCCCAAGAATAAATCAGATGCCCAGTGGCCAGGGGAAAAAAAGGCATATTTTTCTTTGGTTGGTTGAGTTAAAAGGGAACCCTTCCCAAAAAAAAGAGGCACCACTGGGCATCTGGGATAAGGAGGATGGAAAATGTCCGACCAAATTCCGGTTGCCAACCCACCCAGAACTAGCTGGCATGCGCAATAGAAAGGCGTGAAAGGGAAGGAGGGGTTGGGCTTTGTAGGATTGGTTGGGGCGTATTTAGGGCGTGTTTGCCCATTGATGAGTTGGATTGCACCACCACCCCTTTCGGTTAGAAAAGGCATGGTTTCTTCTAAAGCAATCTTGAAGACCACTTGTGCCCCGCCTCCCGTTTCTCTTCTGTACATGGTTGTGGAAAAAATCACCCCAAATCCGTGATACCAAAAGTAGGATACCCGTCCCCATAGATACTTTCCGATGTTGAAAACGGTTTCCTGGACAGACCAAAGCCAAGTCTTCCACTATGGGTTTTGATATGTGGTGCTGAATTAAAATAATTCGGGACCCTTTGGTGAACATCACTTAGGTGAGGATTTATGTCCACCAACCACTTTTCAGAGAGGCTTCAAACCATTAAAGATTCCTAGCCATGCTTTTTTTTCAAAAGACGTCCCCAAACAGACCAAGGAACTGTCTACCAGCCACTTGTTCCAACCACTAAAACTCCTAGCCACGCTGCTTTTTCAACAGGGATCCTTACCGTCTTTCACCTGAACATTGCAACTTGCACATGGTGTTGTCCCTTCATTTTGGTGTTGAAAAAGCAACATGTTTCAAATGGATGGGCAAAATGTGTATCTTTCAAGTTTTCCCCCAAGCAGACCAAGGCAGACCTCCCCAAGCCTCCGACATCGAATCCCGCCGTTGAACCCTGGCCGAGGCGCGCTGCAGCGCCCCTTCAGGGAGCCCAAGCGCATGATGTCCTCGGGTGCTGACGATCTCTGGCCGCCGATTTATCCCTAAGCCACCACCTCCAAGTGGTAGGTGGCAGTTTCTGATTGGGGAAATGGGCAATGTTGTTTGTTCGAGGTCCGGGTTGCTCTGAAAGAGAAATCAACGTTTGGGGTTCGCCTATTTTGAAAGAATACCCAACATGCAGTAAGTTTCCAACCGGAAATTTCCGGTAACGCAGGACAACCATGGGTGAGCTCGTTTACTCGAGCTCGCGGAGCAACTGATACATACATACATACATACATACATACATACATACATACATACATACATACATACATACATACATACATACATACATACATACATACATACATACATACATACATACATACATACATACATACATACATACATACATACATACATACATACATACATACATACATACATACATACATACATACATACATACATACATACATACATACATACATACATACATACATACATACATACATACACATACATACATACATACATACATACATACATACATACATACATACATACATACATACATACATACATACATTACACATACATACATACATACATACATACATACATACATACATACATACATACATACATACATACATACATACATACATACATACATACATACATACATACATACATACATACATACATACATACATACATACATACATACATACATACATACATACATACATACATACACATTACATACATACATACATTACATACATACATTACATACATTACATACATTACATACATACATACATACATACATACATTACATACATACATACATACATACATACATACATACATACATTACATTACATACATACATACATACATACATACATACATACATACATACATACATACATACATACATACATACATACATACATACATACATACATACATTACATACATACATACATACATACATACATACATACATACATACATACATACATACATACATACATACATACATACATACATACATACATACATACATACATACATACATACATACATACATACATACATACATACATACATACATACATACATACATACATACATACATACATACATACATACATACATACATACATACATACATACATACATACATACATACATACATACATACATACATACATACATTACATACATACATACATACATTACATACATACATACATACATACATACATACATACATACATACATACATACATACATACATACATACATACATACATACATACATACATACATACACATACATACATACATACATACATACATACATACATACATACATACATACATACATACATACATACATACATACATACATACATACATACATACATACATACATACATACATACATACATACATACATACATACATACATACATACATACATACATTACATACATTACATACATACATTACATACATACATTACATTACATACATTACATACATTACATACATTACATACATACATACATACATACATACATACATACATACATACATACATACATACATACATACATACATACATACATACATACATACATACATACATACATACATACATACATACATACATACATACATACATACATACATACATACATACATACATACATACATACATACATACATACATACATACATACATACATACATACATACATACATACATACATACATACATACATACATACATACATACATACATACATACATACATACATACATACATACATACATACATACATACATACATACATACATACATACATACATACATACATACATACATACATACATACATACATACATACATACATACATACATACATACATACATACATACATACATACATACATACATACATACATACATACATACATACATACATACATACATACATACATACATACATACATACATACATACATACATACATACATACATACATACATACATACATACATACATACATACATACATACATACATACATACATACATACATACATACATACATACATACATACATACATACATACATACATACATACATACATACATACATACATACATACATACATACATACATACATACATACATACATACATACATACATACATACATACATACATACATACATACATACATACATACATACATACATACATACATACATTACATACATACATACATACATACATACATACATACATACATACATACATACATACATACATACATACATTACATTACATACATACATACATACATACATACATACATACATACATACATACATACATACATTACATACATACATTACATACATACATACATAC